CAGAGAAGGAAGCAAACCCCCAGAGATAGAACATGACTCACCCAGGGCTGTGTATGTAAAAGCATGTGCCCTATTTCACCCTGCCTTCTCTTTGTCAGGAACTGTGGTAGGTGCTGGGGAATACAAGGATGAGCGAGGCCAAAGCATCAAGACAGAGTCCCTGTTTTCTTATAGTGGAGAGGGAGGGCATTAAGAAAAATGATCAGGCAGGAAGGTAAGTGCTTTGATGGGCACACGACCCAGTTAAGAAGGAATGGAGCCCAGGAACTAACTGAGTCTGGCTGGGCTGAGAAGGCTTCTCATAGGAGGTGTGGCCTGAACTAAATCTTAAAAGATGAATGAGAGCTTTCCAAGAGGTAAAATTAGTGGTGGATGGGCATGGATGGGGAGAATATTCCAGCAAAGGGAATAGCATTTTGTCATGGATGAAGTGTGGGCTGGTATTCAGGAAGAACAGGGAATGCAGTAGGAAAACCACCACGGACTCTGAACCCCATGGGAGGGAGTTCAGCCTCCATCTTTTAGGAAAAAGATGTTGGAGGGTCATCTGAGGCTTTTAGGCAGGAGAGTGACATGGCCATATTTGGGTTTTAGTGGGACCATGTCATGATGTCGTCAATGGACTAGAGGTGGGTCTGGTAGGAGGAGACAGGTCAGAGAACTATTGTAGAAATCCAAGGAGAGGACAGAAGGGCCAAAAAAGCCAGGTCAGGTTAGTGGGGAAGGCCCCGTGTTTAGTAATGATGACACTCAGATTCAGAGAAGTGCTGACTGATAGAACTTTCTGTGATGATGGACATGCCGTCTATGTTGTACACCACTCTAGCCAGGAGCCACAGCGGAATACTGAGCACTTGAAATGCGGCTGGTGTGACTGAGGAACTGAATTTAGTTTCTTAGTTCATTTTCATGGACATAGGCACTCATGGCAAGTGGCTACTGTACTGAAAGCACAGTGCGAGGGGCTGTTCTTTCTCTCTCTACTCCAGTAAGGGTGAGTTGCTGACTTCACGAGGCCCTCATTTCCCCCTGGTACAGAGTGTTCTGTAAACGCTTAGCAAGTGCCTTCCTCCTCGCCTCCCTGGTCTGCCTGCAGCCCCCTCTCCAGCCCACAGCCTGGTTCAGAAATCCCTTCTGAAGGCCTGGGAGCATGCACACAATGTGCAAGGACTGGCTCCCAAGCGAAGCTTATCACAGTTATTATTTTCATTATGAGAAATAGCTCCATAAATAGTAACAGATTTCTTTGTTTACTTTGTCCAGGAACAAGTCACACCCACAAAGAGAGACTGTTCAAAGGAACTAATAGGAAAGGTTAGTTAAAACTAAGTGAAACTCAAGGCCCAGCAGGCTTTCGTCCTTGATATTTAAATCATTTCATGATATGCCTGGCTGATGAGCAACGCTGAGGACTGAGGTGGGAGATGACCCTGACACAGGACAGAAAGTTCCCCTGCTTAGTTACTGGAGTCCCGCCCTGTCATCTCCCCCATGTTGGGGCCTCAGCAGTGCAGAGGTTTGCACTGAGCCATCCACACCCTAACTTGTAACACATGACCCATGACCACAGTCACACCGCCCACGTTGGAGACTGTCATAGGCACTCCAGAAACACGGTGCATGTATGGGTGGACAGCGTTGTATCTGGAATATAAAAGATGGTTAGTCAAGGCCTTGACAATATGCAGGCAGACAGGTGGCTGTCTACTTGTTACGAGGGGCATCTAATCCCCTCCTGGCTGAGTCTAAGAACATCAGATTCGCATACCTCCTCCTGCCTTTGCCAGGCCATTCTGCAATGCACAGACGCTTCCAGAGGGAGGTTTGGGGTTTTGTTTGTTTGTTTTTGTGGTTGTTGCTTTTGCCACAACAGAGCATAAACAATTTCTCAGAACTAACCATAGAATAATATCCCAGCAACTGAGTTCTTCTGTGCGGAGTTAATTCTCTTCAGTCTACAGTGTTTTATTGGCTTCTGTGCCCCCATCCCACTTCTTCGGTGCTGTTGGAGACCTTGAGGTTCTCCTGTCTCCTGTGGTGGTTCCAACGATTTCTGTGGCTCTCTGGGAGGAGCCCATGAAGCTTGAGTCCTCATAATCACCAGGTGGTACCTGTCTGTTTTCCTCCTCTCTTGTGCTGGCTCCTCATGGTGACATGATCATCCAGAAGCCAAGTGAAGACTCCAAATTATGCCCCTGCTAGGAGGGGGCCTCCCTCACCCTTCCTCCCAAGTCTAATGTTGCTTCAGCTGCATAGTGACAAAAGTCACACTGGGTTAGGCCACACAGAGGTGAAGAGAATCACCCAGCATCTTCGACAACGCCTTAGTTTTCCCTATGAGTGTGTGTGTGTGTGTGTGTGCGAACCACTTTTCATTTCTCCCTACTATCTACTCTCTTTCAAGGTCAGATATGAGTCTTTACAAGTTACAGTCTCAGAGCTAGAGAGCCACAGAGCTGTATGCAGTTCTTCAGTTCCCTCCTCCACATTGTATTCCTGCTGAAACCCTCCTACGGTTCCTTCAGATCTTTTACACAGCCTTCACGTAAGGGACCAGCCCCATGTCTGTTCTGTGGGTTACAGATGTAAGATCTGGAAGATAGCAGCTAACTAAGGAGCAAGAATCTGAGAAGAATTTTAACTGGGGTTCCAAGACTCACAGATGCAAAGCCATGCTGCTACATTGTCATCAAAATGTCAAATTGCTTTTTACTGCAGTTGAGTATATGCACTCATCTGATGATGTCTGTCCAGAAGGAGGTTGTTGAATCAAGTATGTCTTGTCGCTTGTGTACAACATAGTATGACCTCTCCAGTCCCTGGTGGGAGGTAAGGGGTGACTGCCAGCTGGTATATGACAAGAACACAGACCCCTAGTGAGGGTCAAGGGAGCCCAGTTAGGGCAGAGTCCTCATCAGACAGCAATACAGGATTGAAAGGCGACATGTGGATAGGATGATAACTCTGGATACAGTTGGAGTCAGTGGGAGAAAGATTCTCTTTGATGAGTGTCATTGAGTGGGAGAGAACAGGTCAGAGAACTATTGTAGAAATCCAAGGAGAGGACAGAAGGGCCAAAAAAGCTGCCGGACAGGCCTAGAATGAGATAGAGAGAAAGGAATCAAAAGCAATGGGAAAAGCTGGCGGACTGCGTGCGCGCTGGGCCGCGGGCTCTCCCCTCCTCCTCGGGCTCCTTTCGGCCGGCCTTGGCCTGGGCGGGAGCAGGCAGCTCTCTGGGTCACAGGGGAATTTTCTCTGATACAGATCTGGACCCTTGAAAGATTCTCTTTCAAATACAACTTTGGTATTTGAAAGTATGCCATGAACATAAATAAAGCTCGAAGACCACAGGCCTAGAATGAGATAGAGAGAAAGGAATCAAAAGCAATGGGAAAAGTTGTCAATTCGGTGCATTAGCGATAGGGATGAAGGAAGAGAGAAAGCTTGCCGATGGAGTGGCTTTTTGAAATGAAGGGGAAGTTTAGGGAGCTCTCAAAGCTGATCTCCATCCTTGAAGTAGGAAGTAAAGTCACCTGTTGATAAAAATGAGTAACATATGCTGCCTTGAACCAGGGACTGTGCTAAGTGGTTGATATATGTAAGCTTGTTTAATCTCTATAACAACTCCATAGAGTAGGGACTATTATTATCCTGTCTTAACCAGGGAGGAAACTGAGGCACAGAGAAGTTGCAGAATGGACTCAGGGTGAAAGGAAGCACTGGTCTCTAACCAGGTGAGAGGCAACTAGGGGAGAGTGGAGTTGGCTTAGTTCAGTCGTGGCTGTTCTGGGAACCCACAAAAGCTGAATAAAAGCATGGTGAGACGGAGACTTCCTCCAGCAAGGAGAGGAATGGAGACACTGGGGACTGGCAAGTGTGGAACACAGTTCAAGGTCAAGGAGATGAGGAGCTCCAAGGTGGTTTCAAGGGCACTGTTAAACTGTCTGGGAAAGGAGATAGGTGAGGCTCAGGACATGCTGAAACGGGGCCACAGGCATGGTGATCCCCCCTCATTCCCCGTGGAGGAAAGAAAAGGAGAGAGTTGTTCTGGATGGAGTTACTGTGCAGACAAGCTGTGGACATCGGGTCCTGTTCCAATGGCAGGCAGAGCTCTTACGCAAAAACAAAAGCCAGCAACACAATACAGTGGATTAGAGGGCTTGGATTCAAATTCTGCTTCTGTGTTCTGCTGGCAGATCCATTTTCCTTTCAAACACTTGTGTGCTCTCAGCCACATGGGAGGGACAACTGGACTGAGAAGCAAGAACGCAGCTATGGGAGGCCCTTGGTCCAGTAGAAAAGGCTGCCAACGCTCTCAGTGAGCAGGGGACAGAATGGCACTCAATGACATTCATCAGGAAAATTCAGGAGGTGCCAGCTTCCTGCATGCGGGCTGTGTGGACAGGGCCCTGGGTTTTGGC